AAAGGCTCATCCATCATTAAACATTTGTCATGAAGCAAACAATTCTCTCTCTCCCTAATTTGGTAACCCCTTATTTAAGCAATAAATTAAATTACTTTCTCTCATTTGCATAAAAAATTTTCATACCCGATTAAATTTAGATTTGTGTGAGAAGTCTTGTATGAAAAGATAAAGCATTTTTTAATAAAAAAACGATAATGTATTCAGCAGATTTGAACTCCAAACTTCTGGCTAAAAAAAATTCTTATGCATATTATATACACAACAAAACCACTCCACGCTTCTTTTTTATTACACACCTTATCCTCCAAATATGAGTGCGTAAAATATCAGGGCAGACTCTATGGTAGGTCAGTATGTCTCCCAAAATTTATCAAGAATAAATTAAGTGTTATAAACAGTATGACATTTTGTTATATGTTCTCTTTGTGTAAAAAAAAAATCTAGTTTGATTTAGCAGGGAGTTTAAAAAAAAATTGTGGTCCTAAATTAAAATTATGTCACGTGAATAACTGAATTTTTTTTTTGTAAACAGGCTTAAAAGAAAAATAAATCATTCTTTTTTAATCGGAGGGGGAGGAGTATTGATTTATTCTCTTTTAATCTTTTTCAGAAATCAAAAAACATTATTTTGTACTCTCTTTCTTCAAAAAAAATCCTTTTTTGTATATATGTAATAATTTTTTATATTGTTACAACTGTTTACTTGGTTGGTTTTATGATTAGTTAGTTGTTAGTTACTTTCCAAAAAGTCATGTGTTTCAAAAAATTAACTCATTATCAATTTATCTTTATAGTTGATTGGTTACCAAACAAACTATTAGTTTATCGCTTATCCAATATTTTTCAATAGATAATTAGAAAATAGTTTATGAGACAACTTTAATTTCTACATAACTTCTTGGAGGAAGAATTCATGTACTACTTAAAGAAACATTTCCTCAATAAAATGTTATGTAGAGGTGGTTAATGGTTATATTATTTTAAACTTTTGGATAATGATGATTTGCATAATTACTTAATATAGTATTAAAGCTAGCTTGTCGAGTTCACTAGTTAGAGTCCCACCATCACCTATCAATAAAACGTCTCCATGTTCTTAATCAATGAAGATTGAAGGCATATATAAATTAGAAACCTAATAAATTTTCCACTTTTTAATAGTTTATTAAGAATCGCTTGGTCGGAGGTATTAGAAAATAATCATATACATAATTCGATAGTTTTTATCCTTCGTTTGGTTTGCATTTTCGTTTTCAATATAACTTGTCATGTTTATAATGGAAATTATATAATGACGAGATTATTTAGTAAATATAATTTTATTTTTCATAAATGTTTGGTTCAGTGGATTTACATAGGATATAGGATGGTATAATATAAAATATATGTCTGATTTTATACACGAAATAAGGTGAGATATAAAAAATTATTTTCAATTTCAACCTTGATTTTTTCCTTTAAGATTTTGGCAGAAAGAATTGGAGAGAGTCGTATTTATCATTTTGATGTTTTATCCCAAGTTTATTATATAACATTGATTCTTGTATAAACATAATAATACCACAATTGTGGTCTAACAATCCCGAGATTGCTACTTTAGAAACCAAAAGCTTAACCAAATATGAAATAAAATAATCTTAAATTTTATTTCTAAATTTTTATTATTTGTTTATCTCACAAACCAAATAATCTTTTATTTTTTAGTAACTTATACATTAATCTACATATTATTTTATGTAATAATGGATAAAGTATGGATGAATTAATCTTTATAGAAGAATTCATATATAATTGTATATTACTTCTCTTTTGTTCCAATTTACGTGTCACCGTTAAAATTTTGAGAGTCAATTCAAATTTTTTTTACCGGAATTTCATTATATTCCTTTTAAATATTTTTAAATTGTTAATTATTGTGATTTATAATATTTTTTTACATAGTTTTTTATAAAAAAATTATTTCAAAAAAACTTAAAATTTATATGTTTGAATTTCAATTGTGTCACATAAATTAGGAGTGAAGATTATTTTTTCATTAATGATCCACGAATTAAACGACCCTTGAGCTCATAAAGGGACATTTCATATACATCATCTTAATTATTTTCTTGTAGTATCTGCCTCCTTTTATATATACTTGATGACTACCTACAATTGTCTTCCTATTTTATTTTATTTGCTCCTATTTCATTGTCCTATCAATAATGCTTAGATGTTGACATCTTATCTCCACAAAATTGATTAAATCACGAACCGTGTGTTTTTCCCATATGTGGTGAGAATATGGATTGCCCATATTTAGTCTGCTCTAAAAGAGGTTGAAATTGTCTACTAGTGTTTTTAGGTTGGAATTTGGTGATTTGTAAAGTTGATATTAACTTTTTTTCCTCGTATATTGTTTTTAGTTAAGGCCATCAAGTTTTGCACTACAAATTGCAATGCGTCCAAAACGTCATGTTTGAACAAATTGAATATATATATATGTCAAGATAGTTTTATAATTAAAATTTCATGGCAATGTTATATAATTCGCTGTGTAAGTGAAACTTGGGATAGTATTGTAAAATTCTATAATTGAGCTTAGCAATCGGGGATGTATTGTAAAATCAAAATGTATAGGTTTGTTATTGTGTTCATGATTACAATTTTGAATTACCTAAGTGGATCACACTTTGATTTTTGCTCGTCCTCAAGAAAATATAAAACTTATCTCAATAAGTCAAGCCTAGGGAGCGACACCACTTTGATTGATACTAACAATTAGGTCTTTTAGCAACATACAACATCAAATATATAGTATACTTCATGATCATCATGCATGATATACAAATTAACCCAATCAAATGAAAAAATTCTAACCTTTTAGCCTCATAGACAAACTCCAACTCATCAAATTTCGTTCACCTAGTTTAATGTTGGTTAGGAGACGAGTAGGTTAAATGTAATGACCCTCAAGGTGGTTTCGTATTTTTTACTTATTTTTTCTAGTGCGACCCTCTCCATAGCTTTGAATTGGTATTTATTACTTGTGGAAATGCGTGGTTTGATTTCTGAGGTGATTGAATGAGTTTTTTTTGGAGTTTTTGAGATTTGGAAGTTTAGAACTTAAAAAGTTTGACCAAAGTCAATATTTGATATTGGTGAGGTTGGATCCGAGTTTTGATTGTTCCACTAGGTACACCTGGTGATTTTTGGCCTAAGTGGAAGTTTGGCTCAATTTTCGAGGCTTTCAGGGGTGTTTTGGTTATGTGGTTGGATTTTAAATTTTTCTGAACTCTTGAGTTGACTTCGGTCAACTTTTGATTTGAACAATCTTGGAATGTATTTTGACAATTCCAACATGTCCAAAATGTGTGTTTACGATTGATTTGCACAATTGATTTATATTAGGGGGTTCCAAATGAGTTTCGGGGTCCGTTTTGGGTTTTTGGTTGAGTTTGAAATTGTTGATATTGTGCCAAACACCCTTCTACGTCATCGCAAGACACCCTTCACGTTTGCAATGAAATTTGGGAGTTCTAAAGCTTAGATTTATGGGATATACAAAGATTCTTTGTAGGGGTAAGTGTCTAACCCTTCTTTTGGTAATTGCCCAATGATTCTTCGTTAATTTCATCAAATTATCGCGAGTAAAAAATGAATCTTTTTGGAACTTTCCCCCAAAGTTTTAAGAAAGTGTAAATTGATGATTTGAGATCAAATTTGAATTCCGTTTATGAAGAAATTTTATATGTGAGTTCCTTATCTAACGGGTAAAATGATTTCGAAAGAATTTTTTATTTCGTCACCCGATTCTTACGATTGACTTTTTGACCCAAACTTCTATACTAAGATATGAGTATTAATGGACTTGTATTCATGTGTAGAGTATGATTTTGATAGATTGGAAGTGTTCTGAGACTAATTATATTTCAACTAATTTAAAATATATATTGATTTGAAATTGGTTTATTAATTGTTTCAAGTGAAATGTTTTTTTTTTGCCTGAAATTAATGCCTAATTATAATTTTGACTTTCAATACTTTTTCTCAACTTCAACTTTAATTATATATTTTTTTCCAATTTCAATCAAATAACAAAGGTGTCCTTAAAATGAAACCAAAGAAACCCTTTAAAATTTTATACAAGAAAAAGAAAAGTCGTAGTAATATAGAAGTCAATATGAAAAGGCGAAGAGGAGAAGCTATAGTACTAGGAATGAGTTTGAATCAATTTAGTAGCTTTTGCTTAAATTTTGTATTTATATTAGAAAATTTGTTATAACTTAGTAACTAAAATGAGCTATAATTTGATTACAAATTAATTTTAAACTTAAAAACTTGGGAAAAGGGTCTGAAAAATACTTCAACTTTGGCTGAAATTGTTGTTACGACACCAAACTTTATGGAGGACATTTTACGCCCTGCACTATTTAATAGTGTATTTTAAAGGTATATATATACCCATGTGGACACGTTACTATTTACAATGATGCAGTATTTATGATGTCCACGTGAACACATATATACTTTTAAAATACACTATTAAATAGTGCAGGGATAAAAGGTCCTCCATAAAGTTTGATATCGTAACAACAATTTCAGTCAAAATTGGAAAAAAATTCAGACCTTTTACCCTAAAAACTTCAAATTTTGTCTTTAGTTATAGCTTAGAGTATGTTACTTTCGATAAATGACTTGGTGGAATCAGGAATGGAGTGACTGATCACATAAAAGGAATGTTCACTCCCTAATCATCAAGAGGCTACTTGCGACAATAGCATTAGGTCCTAGAATGAAAATCATTGGATGGAAAAATGAGTGATTGGATGTGAGAGTGGGTGGGGGGAGTCCGTGGCACGATCGTTTGGAAGTGTGATGGCATGACATGAGGGAAGGAAGAAACAGAGTTAAGACGTGGTGGACATGACATGCCAAAATTGTCAACCCTTTATTCAATATTCTCTTCCTTTTTATATACATTGAAAAAACATGCATATGCAAATCAGTCTCCTCTATCTCTCTTACAGATTCAAGGATCTCTCCTGCAACACCACATCATGGTATATATCTTTCACTCAATCTCACTACTTAGCTTAATTAATTAATTTCGATTTCATATTATATCATACATTTTTGGTGCTTGCTCTTGGGAATCCTTCATGTAAATTAAGAGAATACTAGTACTACTTATAAACAGGGGAAAAGCCATATACGAAATGAAACAAATTCGTTTATCATGTATAAATAGTGTAATTTTTCGCGGGAGGGGACTAATGTGGTGGTGACTCTGTTTTGACATATTAATGAATGCAGGCGAATGCTGCATCTGGAATGGCTGTGCATGACGAATGTAAGCTGAAATTTTTGGAACTAAAAGCAAAGAGAATCTACAGGTTCATCATTTTCAAAATTGACGCCCAACAAGTGGTTGTGGAGAAGCTTGGAAACCCCGAAGAAACCTACGAAGATTTCACTAACGCTCTGCCTGCAGATGAATGCCGATATGCTGTCTTTGATTTCGACTTCGTTACTAATGAAAATTGCCAGAAAAGCAAGATTTTCTTCATTGCCTGGTACACTACACTATTTATGAATTTAAGTTACATCAATTGATTACCAATGTTATGTTGTATATTCGGATAAACTGACATGGATTAATTTTAGGTCTCCCGACACATCAAAGGTTAGGATGAAGATGGTGTACGCGAGTTCAAAGGACAGATTCAAGAGAGAAATAGATGGAATTCAAGTTGAATTGCAAGCAACAGATCCTAGTGAAATGAGCCTTGACATTATAAAAGCGCGAGCACTTTGAATCTCATCATATCCGTCTCCAAGCCGATGCGCTATGCTGTTGTATTTTAGTGTTTTCCCTATTTGATTATGTTCCTAGTCATAAGCTTATCTCTGTGTTACTTCCATTTTCATCAGCCTGATCATTTCTGGATATTCTTTTGTTTTTCCCCCCTAAATGAAACATCAGATTGTGATCTCATTCATTTCAATTTCTATTGTATAACTTGCGCGTAAGAGACGCATAGAGAATTTTTCTTCATTTCACAATTCAAACTGTCCTGTTCTATATTACATTGACGCGGTGTACCAACAGCATTTGCCAGCAAGTCTGAAGACAAGCTTTCCAATTTTCATTACAAATTATAATTAGTGAATAGATGCAATGAAAGAATAACTGAGAATGTGAAAATGAATACTTCATTTCGCTTGCATTGTTATTGAGTTAATATCTCAAATGGTCACTCAATTTATACTTCTTTTCACAGAAAGTCACTCAACTTTCATTTATAAGCTCAAAGTCACTCAACTATGAATTTTTCTCACAGAAAGTCACTCAACTAATAGTTCTTTTCCTAGAAAGTCATTCAACTTTCTTTTATAACTTCAAAGTCACTCAACTATGAATATTTAACCTACAAAGTCACTTTATGTGAAAAGAAGCATTAGTTGAGTGACCATATGAGATATTAACTCCATTGTTCTTCTTTCCCTTTAAATGAGTTGTGTAAGAAATGTGATCACAATCATAGAAAGTAATATATAGCTCTTGGTACCAACCATATTCTAGCAACAAACTGAAGCTGCAAGATAAATGATTCCACCCATGGAAGAGAGTAAGGTTCAAACACCATTAGATTCAGTTGCGGAATCAGGATTTTCACATTCCTAATAATGAAACCTGGGATGTTGAGGTGCATTTTGAATGCCCTGGACCACTGAGCTAACCTTTTACATGTTGTTCAAGAGATTCAAAATTTGTATACGTACATAAGCACATAAAATCTACCTTATATATATAGTGTGTATTTTTTTTTTTGCTGAGATGGTTCGGGTGAACAACCCTCCTATCCCGCTAGATTAACCTCTGATAAGATCTCCTTAACTAGTTTGTACAACCAGCAGGGTCATGCAGCTACCAACGTTTAGCAGGTATACTTCCAAGTTCTTTGAAGAAAAAGTACAAAAAAAACTCCCAAATGAAATACACAAATTAAGACCCCTTTTTTAGCTTTCAAATTAATATGTTTGAAATTGTTGGTGATTTGAGCATTTTAATATTATTTATTTATTTTTGTTATTTTATTTTTAACCGCAATTTATTATATTTATGTATATTACACCAACGGAAAGTTTTGTAAATATACAACAATTACGAAATATTTACCCATGACTAGCCTTTAATCATATTTAGAAGTTGGTTTTTGAGTGGGCGTGGTTGAAATTCGTCGGAAACACTTGGACAAAGCTATATACAAAATTAAATGAAGATTGGAGGTGCTTTGGACTGGTTTGGAATCAAAATTCAAACTTAAGATCGACCTCTAAAACATAGCTACGACAATGTATATGGTCTATATTATTCAATATCATATATATTTATGGATATAACGTGCATATATATATATATATATATATATATATATGACTCTAATCATGATTGAAATTATGATTTGGTATTCCAAATCATGTTTTTTTTAGAATTTGAAATTTGAAATTATGATCCCAAATTACATGTGCCCAACGTTGATTGTGAATCATGACTTCATATGGCATGTCCAAACACGAATTTAATGTGCAAACTAGAAAAAGAGAAAGCGAACATTAAAAAGAGCCCAACCAAGATCAAATCGATGACCTCTTGATTTGCAATCAAATGTTTTACCACTAGGGTAAGAACCCTTAATGTTACAAGAGCATTATACTTTCAATGCTGATCAGAACCATGATTTCATAAGGCATTCCAAACACAAGCTTAATATGCAAAATAGAAAACGAAAAAACAAACATTAAAAAGGGCCAATCAAGTTTGAACCGGTGACCTCCTGATTTGCGGTCAAATGCTCCATCACTGAGCTATGAACCCTTGATGTTATCAAAACTAGGTTATCATATTTCGTTCGGAAGGTTATCTATTTGACCGACATGTTATCGGTTTGAAGATTGCTATATCGTTAAAGAATCGTTAAAATATTGGTCAATTGACTACTAGTTAATTAGTTATTTCATTGATTCGATTATCGGGTTACCTATTAAGATTACACATGAAATGTTTTCTCTATTGAAAATCACTTACAGACAATGTCATAAACAATCTAATAGGATATTCCAAAATTATTAAGTAATTTTAGCCTAAAAATCAAATCCATCCAATCAAACACGATCTACTAGCTTAGTACAAGTATTAACAACACAATGCGCACGATATTAAAAAAATGTAAAACATAATGAACTTATAAGATTTATCCTTAATTATTATCAGATTATTAGTTAATCCGTCAAAAAAATAAAATTTAAATTGATATGAAATTGATTACAAGATGAAAAATAAAATCAAAACCACTATCAAACTGTTAAACCAACAATTTATTATTAATTAACCTATTAAATATTTTTCGACGCAAATTTAGAGTCTGTTTGACATTGCTTGTTGGGAGGCAGAAACACTTATTTTGAGAAAAACACACTTTTGTTGAAAAATAAGTCGTTTGACAAATCAGTAAAAGTGTTTTTAAATGAAAACAAAAGCAGCTTTTCTGCTATTGGGAATAAGTTAAAAAAATTTGCTTCTTACAAAAAGCAGAAGCAGAAGTAAGAAATTATTTTACCAATATATCTCTTATTAATTAATTAGCATATTTCATAAATTTTGTTAAATTTCATTAAGAATTTTTTTATTTTTATATGATAAATTTTATAATTTATTTTACGTTTATATATTATTATTTTATATATTACATATTATTTTGCAAAATTAAAACAAAAGTAACAACAATATTTTTGCAAGACTTAAAAAAAAGAAAAATAATAATAATTAAATTTTTTAGCCTCCCAAAAAAGGTATATAATATTGATTGAAAATTTAAATGTGTTCATTTTAATTTAATAAAAATAAAAATTTAGTTAATATTTTAATAATAGATATTATAAATAATTTCTCTCTATAAAATAATTTTAATATTAAAAGTACATTAATAAAGATTAGCAAACGCAATTTGTTTATGAAAAATACTTCTCAAACGAATTAGCAAACACAATTTATTTTTTTTCAAAAACACTTTTCTGAAAAGTCATTTTAAAAAAATACTTCTAAAAATAAGTTATTTTTAGTAATAATATCAAAAAAAAAAGAGCAAAAACTATAAAGGGCCCAACCGGGTTCGAACCGGTGACCTCTTGATCTGCAGTCAAATGCTCTACCACTGAGCTATGGACCCTTGATGCTACCAAAGCCCTATATTTTCATCTAACTTCTTCCTTGCCTTCAACCCTGACTTGTTCCCGCCTCCGTTTCTTCTGTCACTCTCCCTCTCCTTCTCCCTCAGTACTGTGAAAGAGAGAAAGCAGAGTATCGCCATGGTTTCGCCGCACGGCATCAAGCTCGCTGTTTATCTCATCTCTTCTTACTTCGGCGATCTTAATGCAGTAATTCTCTCCGCCTTTTCTCCCTATAACCCAAATTCATACGTAACAATTCTTGCACAGACAATTATAGACTAGAAACGCAAACCTATGCCTAAAGATTTCAAAGTTTTAATTTTTCTTCTTCTTGGGAGTGAGAAGATTGTATATAGCATGGGATTGAGGAGAAGCAGTTGTTGTTTTTTCCTTTTTTTCTTTTGGGGTTTTATAAAACATAGCGAATTATTGGTATTGGAATGAAACGGACCCAAGTAGAATGAAATAGATATAGATGATTTGTATAGCCAGCCCAACTAGTTTGATTGAATTCGAGGGTACTGGTAGTTGTTCTTTTTTGGGGTTTTTTCTATCTTTTATGCAGAAACCAAATAGATGTACTTTAATTTCGTTAAAATAATTTGTTGATGATCCCCTTTTTCCTAATTCATCTTCTGATAATTTTTGCAGAAGGTTTGCGACTGTCTGTTGCGAAGAGGAACGCAAACTTTGTATCAGGTAGTAAGTTCCACAGAGCTTACGAGAACAAATGTTAAGAACTGTTTGCTTGTGCTTATTCATCATAATTGTGTTCAAGCCTTTGCACTGCAACAACCAGGTACTAACACTAGTGCTACAAGAACTTTTTTCTCATATTGCAATTAGCTATTCAATTTGAGGATATATAGTGAGAAGTTCCTTGATGTCTGATATATTGCCATTTAGGTGGATTTGGGGAGGAACCAAAAGTTATTACACAATACATGGCACTATTTGACAACATTATACATAAATTGAGGTTCCCTAAGTTTATAGAGATTGTGTCTGAGGAGATGGGGAAAGAGGTCAGTTTTATTGGTTTTGCTTGTTATAATATTTGTCGCCCTATCTTGAGCTGATTATATTTTATATTAATGGTAGTGATTGTGTTTGTGTTTCTAGTGTGAAGAGATTTTTGAAGGGTTGCTTCAGCATGGTAGGCTTACACTCACTGAAATTATAGAAAGATACAAGGAGGCATCGAAACAAGGTGAAACAATATCCTTTCTGTAGTTCTTTGTGAATTATCTTGTAAACTATGATTATGGTTTACTATGATCATAGCTAATCAGTTTAATATGCGAATTTGAGTTCTATTTTGGCTTTTCATTTGTGTTTGCTTCTGTTTTTTCTAAATAAGAAACAACGAGAAGAAGGTTTTTACTAATTTTAAAAGGTAAAAAATCACTTCATTGGAAAATGGTTTTAATTGAAGATGATGGGCAGTATATGAACATACTTCTTGTTTCTAATATTTTATCAAGCAGAAAGAGACATTGACAAAGAACACGTGAGATACACAACATCACCCAAGGGTGTGGCCTAGTGGTCAATGAAGTGGGTTGAGAACCATGAGATCTCAGTTTCAAATCCCAGAAAAGACATAAACACTAGGTGATTTCTTCTCATTTATCCTAGCCTTGGTGGACAAAATTATGTGGTACCTGCTGCCAGTGGGAGGTGGCAGGTATCCGTGAAATTAGTTGAGGTGCACGAAAACTGGCCCAAACACCACGGTTATCAAAAAAATAGTACTCCCTCCGTTTCACAAAGAATGACCTACTTAGACTTGGCACGGAGTTTAAGAAAATA